AAAGGGGAGGGGGGAGGAGAAGAAATGGAGAAAGTGAAAGAAAACAGAAAATCCTCAGAACAAATTGGAAGGGGCAGGAGAGCTCCATAGAAAGTCTGGCCCAGAGGTGATAGACAGACAGACAGACTCCTGCCCTCCCAGGTCCTCAGATGGAACCTCCCTCCCAACTGCCCCACAGCCCCTCGCTCACCCTCAGACGCCCATTAGGTCCTAGGGCCAAGGATTCTCGCTGCTCCAGCCAGGCGGGCTCACTCAGTGTGTGCACAAGAGTGTTTGTTTTATGCCTGTCCCACCTGACCCTGTTCCCTGGGTGTGTCTGAGGCCGAGTTCTCTTGGAAGCATCTGGGCCCAGGTATGGCTCTGTGCCCAGGTATGGCTCTGCGCGCCTGTGATTTGCGTCCCTGAATGTTTGTGAATCACTTCTCTGCGTGCGGGTGTGTTTCTGTGTATAACTGTGATCTGTCCTGGAAAAGGAGGGAGAGAGTGAGTGTGTGTCTGTCTGCTCTGGTCTCTAGTGGCTTCCTGCTCCCCAATTCCTCCGCCCCCTGCAGCCCTGGCCAACACACACTTCCTGAAAACACAGACTGAGAAGGAGAAAAGACACCCAGAATCCCATGGGGCTGATACTTCCTCCTCACCCCACCCCCCACTGCACCTCCCAAGCTAGGATGGGACAGCCTGCAGTGCCTGCTGAGGTCATATGGGGAGGACGCCAAGAAGCCCTGCCATTGCTGGCTGGCTCTTGAGGTGGCCCCTCCTTCTCCCCACCCCCACAATGAGGCCCAGAGAGTCTGGGAAAGAGGCTCTTTGAAGGGAACAAGTTCTGCCCCAGCAACAAGTGATCAACCTGCAGAAAGACTAGGGATTGGCTGAGCTACAGGGCAGTCAGAGACACAGGAAGGAAGCCTGGCAGTAGGACGCTAGCTGGGCAGCTGTTCCCCTCCTCACCCTAAGGCAAATTCTCTCTTTTCTGCAGGTATCACTAGGCATCAGGGTATTAGAGGAGGAAATTGAGACTCGGCAAGCTGAGAGGGAATTTGTGGAGCGGCCCTGGAACCCCAAATCAGAACTGACCTCTCTGCCACTCAGAGAAGCAAGTTGAGAGGGCTCACGTCAATAACACTGGAGCTGGGCAGGCCTGGCTCAAGGCCAGGAAGGAGGGTCTGAACACTGGCTTCCCCTCTGCTGGGCTGGGAGGCTTTGGGCAAGTTTCTCAGAATCTCTGGATTCCTCAGCAAGTTCTCTACCACAGGATTATATAAGAAAAGCAGGTGAAGACTCTAGTGGGGTCCTTCTAGAGCAGTGGTTCTCAACCTTCCTAATGCTGCAATCCTTTAACACAGTTCCTCATGTTGTGGTGACCCCCAACCATATAATTATTTTCCTTGCTACTTCATAACTGTAATTTTGCTACTGTTATGAATCGTAATGTAAATATCTGATATGCCGGATGGTCTTAGGCGACCCCTATGAAAGGGTCGTTCGACCCCCAAAGGGGTCGCGACCCACAGGTTAAGAACTGCTGTTCTAGAGCCTGGTTCTGAGAGCCCTGGGGCCTTGCCAGGGCAAGGAGAGAACCCTAACCTTGCTTGTTTTCTGATTGACTGACAACTTTGTCTGTGGCTCAGCCCTGTTCTTCCCACCTGCCTCCTCTGAAGGCCTCTCCCTCTGACGACATCATGAGTGACATGGGTTGTTGTCAGGTAGTGGGATGTGGGAAAAGAATATGAGGCAGTGAGCTCAAGACCCTGTAACCTTACAGACCAGTGTATCACATGCATATATGCCTATATGAAGCCCAAGCTCAGCGCCCGGCAATACATAACACCCTCACCAACATGATCTATTTACCTACATGATGAATACTCATTGAAGGCCTATTTGGCACCTGCACTGTTCCAGATGTTGGGGAGTCAGTAGTAAACAAAATCAGCAAAGCTCCAGGCCCTGGTGGAGCTGACATTCTAGTGCATTCAAGTGGACATTCTTGGCAGCACATGTACTCACATATGTACACACTGGCTCACACCTGACAGTCCAAAATAAAACACATACCAATTCACTACCCAACAGCATATGACACACTATGAGCACATGTATATGTGCACACAGGTCCCAGTGAACGCACACACACACAGACACACACTACTTCATGTCACCACTGAAACTGCACAAATCCTTACAAATTTTATATCTTAGTATTAAAAATTATCACTCTCAGAACCTGTGCAAATTTGTAAATACCCAGATACACTACGACCCTGACAGCTTACCCAACCACTCAAACACATACATTTGGGTGCACACACACAATAGCCCAGGTACAGCTTCACACTGAGTCAAGACCCTGAAGGTATACACATGCACACACAGCAATCTCCAATTCCATTGCAGCTTGAGGACAGGACTTAGTCACCCCATGATCTTATATGAAAGGCCCTAGGTTGTAAGCTGGGGTAGGAAGACCATGTCATGAGACACTGCAGTGGGACCCCTGCAACATGGGGAAGGGGCAGTATTATGCCACGCACCAAGGAACCTGGGGGAGTCACAGGAAGGGGTCAAGAGGGGACAGGATGGCCAGTCAGGCTCCATGTTGGCTCCCACCTTGATCACTACCCATACAAGAGGCCCCATCTGCTGTGAGGCTTTTTTTCTTTTTTTTGAGACAGAGTTTCACTCAGTCACCCTCCATAGAGTACCATGGCATCAGAGCTCACAGCAACCTCAAACTCTTGGGCTCAAGTGATCCTCTTGCCTCAGTCTCCCAGGTACCTAGGACTATAGGCTCCTGATGCAATGCCCAGCTATTTCTTTAGAGACAGGGTCTCGCTATTGCTCAAATTTGTCTCAAACTCCTGAGCTCAAAGCAATCTATCTGCCTTGGCCTCCCAGAGTACTAGGATTACAGGAGTGAGCCACCATGCCCCTACTGTGAGTTTTTATACTGCAAGAGTATGAAGACTTTCTGCACCTTATAAGCCAAGGACTGAAGATGGCCATGACTCCCAATGTTACAGTCAGTCTTTGGACAAGGGAAGCCAGGCTTAGCAACTTAGCTCTTACCCTACTCTGCCCCAAAGAATAGTCCCATGTTGCAGGGAATAGTTTTCTACCAATTCTCTCAGCACAGAATATATTGTGGGTCCTCTAACTATAGGGGACCAGACTCCTGACCATGGGGGCTGACCTCCCCAGAGACTGGCTTAGTAGCTACGTTCAGACCAAGGCTGTAAGAGTAGAAGCTGGTGCCCCCCAGGAGTGTGAGCAGAACTCTCGCCATACCCATATGAACTTGGGTATCAACTCCAGGAACACTATAGAAGGCTATGGGAGACCATGAAAGGGACCAAACGGGCAGCTTGTTATCAGTCATACAGCTAGCTGGGCCAGACTCAGCTGTCCTGCCTCCTAAACAGGAATCCAGGCCTCCCCTGTCCCACGGGAGGTTTGGCCTCCTTAACTTTTGTGAGCTCCCTAAGGACAGGGCCCTAGCTCCTCCCCTGTTCACCCACACCTAACCCCCAGAGACAGTCTCTCTCCATCCAAATGACCTGGTAGAAAGGAAACAGAAACTATGCCTGCGTGCCTTATGGCCACTAGAGGGCATAACGGCACCAAGAAACTCCAAACAGCTTCCAGCTGGGCACCCTAGTTACCTGTTTCCAGTTGTGTGCGCCCAGGAAGGCCATGGATCCTTTTTATGCTTCCACCAATCAAACCTCAAAAAACCACAGCCCTGGCTTGGCCTTCAGGGCCCCCTAACATAATATTCCTCCCTGGATAGAAAGAACTCCCCAGATCGTCCACACAGCCCTCTCACCCCACCAAGTATAGACTTGGCATCAATCCAGCCAGTGCCAACTCCCGGCTCTCAGCCTTAATTTCTATGCTAAAACCAAGGCACAAATCTTCCAGAGGCTTGCTGTAGGGATCAAGAAGATCATGTAAGCAAAAAGCCCCACAGTAACAAGGACCATAAGACCTCTCCCTACACATCCCTTCCTCCTCCAAAAAGCCTTCCCAGATTAGTGTGACTTGGCCCAAGGGCTCTAATAAATCCCTGAACACATATCTTGCTCTGTCTGGGGGTGCTCCCTCCTGCCTGTGCCACCCCACCCCCTGGAAATAGCAGGAAGGGAGGGCACATGTGAAGGAGATTAAAATGGAATAGCCAGAAAACTCGGAAGCAACTCAAGAAAACAAAGGGTACCAGGAGCCGCAGAGGGGAGAAAACAGGTCTGAGGAAGGAGGGGGGTGAGTAGGATGTACCCTGAGAAGTATCCTGTGTTTAGGTGACATGTGGCAGTGGGATGGGGACAGGATGTGAGGTAGCACAAGCACCAAAAACGAGGCAATTCCTATGCCCAACCCTATAAGCCACCGTCCTAGGCATTCCCTTTCCTCTTCATGTTGCCTCCAGATACCAGCATGGACCCCAAACCCTCACCGTTATCTCACACTTGCCAGGTCCCAAAGCTTCAGACTTCCTCCCAAACCCACTCCTGTCCCTGGGTCCCTAGATCAGTGATGGTGCCCTCATCTACCCAGCCATATGAAATGGAAACCTAGAGGCCAAGCTATAGTTGCCCCCTACCAGGCAGTCCCCATCCTGTCCATTCTAGGGCCTACACCTGGCTCTCATCTACCTACCCCCACCCCCAAGCTTGTTAGCATAGCCTGAGTGGGACCTCACCTGGCTCTGTGCCCTAGCCCCTCCCCCATCAACCGCACCAGTAGCCAGTCATCCTTACCGTACTTCGGTGACTTTTCTTAAAACCTCCCCAGCTCCCCAGCCTGGCCAGGCCTCACCCGCACCATCCCAATAGTCTAGGCACACCATGGAGAAGGCTCAGACAGAGCTTCCCTCCTCCGAGGTGTGTGCACATTGCTCCTTCCCCCCGAAGCACCTTTTTTACCCCAGCACCCAAGTCTACAAACTCTCCACACATGCTCTGGCATCCTCTCACGTGTCTCCCACCCTGGTGGCATCTACTCACGTCACCAGCAGGCGGGGGGGCATGGTGCGGGGGGGCACAGGTGGAACATTCGGCTCTGCCAAATGCCGCTTGGCGGGCAGCGGTGGGAGCACAGGGTCTGGAGCAGCTGTGGTGGGGGCCACTGTAGATGGTGCAGCTGTGGACGAGGCGGTGAAGCAGGTAGGTGGAAGGCAGCTCCTCCGGGGTGGGATGGGTGGGGCCGTGAGCGGCCCTTCATCCTCTCCAGCAGCAGGTAGGGGCTCAGGTAGAGTGGTAGGCACAGGCAGAGAGCGGAAGACATGGCGTTTCTTGGGCACAGGCCGTGGGGCAGAGCGGGGTGCAGGAGCTGGAGGGGTGTGAGCCCGGCTCAGTCCAGCCAGGATGCGGCGGCGGTGGCCAGGGAGAAGCATGCCCATGTCCATCAGGCGGGTATCACTGAGGCCCTGACACTCAGTGGCCCACACCAGCCCGTGCTGCTCGAAGAGCCCAGTGTACTGCTCCAAGTGCAGAGCCCGCAGCCACTCAGCCACTGACAGTGCAGCATCCCTGGCCTCTGCCATGGTTCCTGCCAGCAGAGGCCAACTGGCAGGGGCCTGTCCAGACCTGAAATAGACAGATGGGCACAGGTCAGAGGCATGGCTGCCCAGGAGTTGTCCCTGATCACTGCATCAGCATCCTTCATAGCTCTCTCATGCATGGGTTCAAGTTCTGTCCTTAAGCTTCTTCCCCTGTCTCCATGTGCCAGGCAAGGCAGGTACTGCTAGGCCTCTGAACATACAGGCTGCCTGAAACTGCACACATACACCCACACCTTGCCCTGCCTCTGTGGCCTCCTAGCATCTAGTTCATGTTTCCTTTTCTAAGAAACCTGCCATAAGCCCCGGGTTGGTACCGGGGCTTACCACACTGCCCTACACAGCCTCAACTACTGCTATGAGACTGGCCAGAGGCATGTTTAGTGCTGTGTCTGGCACACCTTCTTCCCCACTACTGTCTGCAAGACCCAGGCCAGGGCCCAGTTTCCTCTGAAGTACCAGTTTCCAGCTGAGGCCTAGGCCCAGAGGCTTAATGAGTATGGGTAGGACCAAAGGATACCATTACTGGTCCCTCTGCATGCCCAATATGGGAACCTCAGGTTACTTCACCCCATTTCCAAGCCCCTGGAGCAGCAAAATACTCCAGAAGGTGAGTGAAGCCAGCATCACGTAGCCTCTGGGGTCCTGGCTTCGGAAGTGGGCAACCCCTCCTATTACCAAGGCAGGGAAAGGCCATTCATTCATTCTTTCAAAAGAGCCTTGTACTGGGCAGTGAGATCTCAGCTTCCTTCCCTAGACTCAAGAGCTCCTGCCTGGTAGGAGTCAAGAGATGATGTGGAGAAAGTGACCATTGGAGAAGGTGATTAAGAGATCAAAGGGAAATGTCACCTGGTCATCTTCATGGACACTAAAGAGTCATATGGTAAAACCCAGTATCTGGCTTCCTGACACCAACAAAAATCTTACAAGAAAAGAAGAAATAGATGGCTACTTCTTTAAGCAAAAACCCAACACCTTGCTTAATGGTAAAATAATAGAAAAATTCCCATTAAAATCAGAAATGAAACAAAAGTATCTATTTCACTATTATTCACATTGCTCTGAAAATCTTTTTTGTTTGTTTTTTTCTCATTTCAAGTTTATTAAAACTTTAGCGGTACAAATTATGCAGATGAAAGATTATCAAAAGATCAACTCAATGAAATCCACATTAGAAAAAAAAAAAGACAAAGACAACCCAAAAACAATGAAAGGGAAAATAGCAAAACTGATGAATCTCTAAAACTTAAAATTTTAGACAGAATGGAAGTAAGTTTACCCAATTCACTCATCCACTTTTGTCTTCATCTGTTCCAGGACTTGATTCATGATCAGATTTTTTATTTTTGTCATGTACGTGGTCATTTTCTTGACGCTTTGATTTTTGGTTTTCTTTTTCCACTGAGGATCTGGTCTTCTCATCCTCCTTATTTTTTAATGTGGAGGACTTTAATTCATTGGCTGCTTTTGTTTCATTTTTGAGAATGGACTTTGATCTCTGTCAGCCTTTTTTTTCCCTGCTATTACTTGGGCTATTATAATCACGATTTTAGAGTACATTCTTTTCTTACCCACTGAATTTTCTTGTCTGTAAGAACTCTTTTACTTTCTTAGTTTCTGTACTTTTGTTTCTGCTTTGACTTTCTTCTCTCTCTGAGCTCCGTGAATCTCTCCTCCTTCTCTTCCTGTCTTTACTTCTTGATCTTCCTGGTGTTGCTCTTCTCTCTGGGCTTCGTGACCATCCTCTTCTTCTGTACTCCTGTTCTCTCTGTCTGTGGTACTCCTTGCTTCTGCTGCGATCTCTGTCCCGGCTTCTAGATCACACTCTTCTGCTCCGGTCCCTGCTTCTGCTCCGTTTTCTGGTTCTACTATTATAACTGTGTTTACCTTCAGTTGTATCACATTCTCTACTCCTGGATTGTGCCCGTCTATCCTTTTTTTTTTTTTTGGCCAGGGCTGGGTTTGAACCCTCCAACATATGGGACCAGCGCCCCACCCTTTTGAGCCACAGGCGCTGCCCTTGCACGTCTATCCTTTTCCTTACCTTTATTGTAATCATGCTCATTACTTTTTGATTCTTTACTTCTCCTCCTTTCCTGACCTTTTCCTTTAGATTCAGACTGTTTTTCTTTTTCTTTAACATTCTCATGATCCCTTTCTTTACTCCTTGACCTCATCCTCTTTTCTTCATGTCTATTATGTTTTGAATCTCTTTCCTTACTTTTTGATTTCTCTCTGCTCTTACTCCTACTTTTAGATTTCGCCCTTTTCTTCACTTTGTTTTTATTATATTTATCATCTTTTTCTGAATTTCTTCTGATGTCTCTCTCTTTGCTGTTAGGTTTATGGTCTTCAACTTTCTTTTCCTTTTCACTTTTTCTGTTTGGACTCTCAGGCACATGCCTGTGATCACTGATTTTTCTCTCTTTTATTCTAATTGGGCTTCTTTGATTTTCTTTTATTTCATTCAACTCACTCTTACCCCCTTTGATCCATCTTTCACCACTTGATACCTCATTCTTTGAGCCCTCTGCATCTCTTGCCTCCAATGTGGAGGAGTCTCACTACTTCTGAAACGATCCCTTGATCTGGACCTGGAAGGGGTGTGATAATGACTTGGTCCTCTTCCTTTAATTTTTCTGCCAGATCTAGTTACAAAAGTTGTCTCTGGTAGGAAGCTGGCTGGGAGTTAGGTGGATTCATTCACATACCACTCTCTTTCTCTCTCTCGTTCTGTTTTTCCTTTCCTTTTCGTCAGCTTTAGGAGGACTTTTTCTCATTAGGAACCTATTTTCAGGCATAGGGGGGATCTCTTCTGGACGGACAGTAGACTGGGGTTGTGCTTCAAGATTTTCAGCCTCACTTTCACTTGATGCACTTTTCTTGCTTGTCTTTCACTTCTTTTCTTTCTTATATTTTCGGGAATTTTTTCTATGATTCTTTTTTCTTTTTTTTTATTTCTCTTCAGAAGCACTTTCAGAATCTGAAGAAGCAGAAGACGACTGAGAATCCCTTGAGCTATCTGAGTTACTGGATGGAGATGAGGAAGATGAGGATGACTTATGCCTTTTCTTTTCTTCTTTCTTAACTTTAGATTTGGGAATCAGCTCTCCACAACTGAGTATCCGTACCTCAGCAAATGGTTTGCTAGCTGTATCTGTTTTCTGGTTTTCTCTCTTACAACTTCTTGACCAGAGATCACTTCCCCAAAGACAACATGATGCCCATCTAAACGAGGAGTTGGTTTTGTTGTTATGAAGAACTGTGAGCCACTTGTATCCTTCCCTCTGTTGGCCACTGATAAAAGGAATTCTTTGTTGTGTTTAACAGCAAAACTCTCATCTTCAAAAAATCCTCCATAAATAGATTCCCCTCCTCATCCATTTCCTTATTTTTATTTTTTTAATTTAATTTAATTTAATTTGTTTTGCTTTGTCTTTTGGCCAGGGCTGGGTTTGAACCCAGCACCTCTGGCATATGGGGCCGGCACCCTACCCTTTTGAGCCACAGGTGCCGCCCCCTCCATTTCTGTCTTTGAAGTCACCACCACCTTGAACATAAAAATCCTTGACAACTCTGTGAAACAGACAACTCTTATAATGTAATGGCTTCTGTGTTGATTTCCCTGTCCCCTTTTCACCTGTACAAAGACAACAAAAGTTCTCCCATGTTTTAGAGCACACGTCCAAAAACAATTCAAAGACAACTCTTTCAGCAGGTTGATTGTTAATGGCAATGTCAAAAAAAATCAAGGATGCTGAACCTTTATTCCCATGGCTCCAATACTGCAATCCTGAAGTAGTGCTGCGTCTTATGATTTTGAAGCATTAAAAATCAACCAGGCTTTCTAGAGTTCAGGCTGCCATCGCTGCCACCATATTATAGCTTGTATGGCAAAATGTGTCAGGAAGGGAGGTGTGTGCTGGCGTGGGGAGGGCCGGAGCTGGCAGAGGAAGGGCCCTGCTCTGAAAATCTTACACAACAAAAATAAATAGGAGGTACACAAATTAGAAAGGAAACTACCCAGCAGTTGCTAATAATGTGACTTTTGAGTTGGAGAGTCCAGAAGTTCAACTGAGAAACTGTTAAAAACATCAAAAGAATTGAGTAAGAGAGCTGGGTTAAAAATTAATATAAACCAACATTTATAAGCAATAGCCAGGTAGAAACCAGGAAGAAAGGCCCCATTTATACTAACATCACGAAATATAAACTACTAAGAATAAACTTCATAGAAAAGGTATTAAGATCATATGAAGACACTTGGTGAGGGGATTCATGCCTATAATACCAGCACTCGGATGGATAGCATGAGCCCAGGAGTTTGAGACCACCTGAGCAAAAGCAAGACCCCATCTCTACAAAACATAGAAAAACTGAGGCAAAAGGATTGCTTGAGCCAAAGAGTGGGAGGTTGCTGTGAGCTATGATGCCACAGCACTCTACCCAGGGCAACAGTTTGAGACTCCATCTAAAAAAAAAAAGATCACATGAAGAAAAATTTAGAGGGTTGGTGAGGGATAAAGAGGACTTGGACAAATGGGATGGCATAGTAAGTTCTGGAGAGAAGACATCATAAAGATACTCATTCTAAGTTAATTCATAAATAAATATATACAATCCTAGGTTGGTGGGGGGGGGTTGGTTTACACCTATGCTATAAGAATCAATCCTCTTAAATACACACACAGAAAATTTTTTGACAAGCTTATTTGAAAGTTTGTGAGGAAAAATAAACAGGAAGAACCAGAAAAATTCTGGAAGCAGGGTGTGGGGAAGGAGGGAGAATAAAGAGTAGGTGTCAGCCTTAGCACATTTTAAAACAAACTATAAAGCCACAATAATTAAAACATTATATGGTACCAGCATGTGAACAGACAGATCAATTAAATAGAACAGAAAGTTCAAAAGTAGATTCAAATATATACCTGAATTATGTGTATAATAAAAGTAGATCCCAGGCTGGGCACAGTAGCTCATACCTATAATCCTAGCACTTTGGGAGGTTGAGGTGGGAGGATCACTTGAGTTCAGGAGTTTGAGACCAGCCTGAGGAAGAGGAAGACTGGACTCATCTCTACTAAAAACAGAAAACCTAGCTAGGTATGGGGGTAGCAGACACCTCTAGTCCCAGCTACTTGGGAGGCTGAGGCAGGAGGATGGCTTGAACTAGGCATTTGAGGTTGCTGTGAGCTATTGATGCCATAGCACTGTCTCAAAAAAAAAAAAAAAAAAGTAGCATCTCAAACAAGTGGGGGAAAGATGAATTGTTAAGTTGTTGGGATAACTCTAAGATAACTGAGAAAATAACTAAGGTGGACCCCTACCTCACACCTTATAATACGTTGAATTACAGACAGACCAAAGATTTCAGTATAAAAAATAAAACTATAATAGGATTTTAAAAACAACATCTCAGAGAGGTGAAAGTCTTTTGGAAATGATATGAACCCAGGAGATATACAGAAAAGACTGAAATATTTGACTCTGTAAAATCAATCATTCCTGGCTCGGCGCCTATAGCTCAACCGGCTAAGGCGCCAGCCACGTACACCTAAGGTGGCGGGTTCGAATCCCCAGCCCGGACCCGCCAAACAACGACGGCTGCAACCAAAAAATAGCCGGGCGTTGTGGCAGGCGCCTGTGGTCCCAGCTGCTTGGGAGGCAGAGGCAGGAGACTCGCTTGAGCCCAGGAGTTGGAGGTTGCTGTGAGCTGTAATGCCATGGCACTCTACCCAGGGGGACAGCTTGAGGCTCTGTCTCAAAAAAAAAAAAAAAATCAATCATTCCTGCATGGTAAAAAAAATAAAATAAAAAGCATCATAGGGCCTGGTGTGATGGCTCATGCCTATAATCCTAGCACTCTGGGAGTCTGAGGCCAGTGGATTGCTTGAGCTCAGAGCTCAAGATTAGTCTAAGCAAAAGAAGACTATGTCTCTACCAAAATTAGAAAAACTAGCTTGACGTTGTGGCAGGCACCTGCAGTCCCAGCTACTCAGGAGGCTGAGGCAAGAGGATCGCTTGAGCCCTGGAGCTTGAGGTTGCTGCAAGCTATGACACCACAGCACTCTCCCTAGAGTGAGAGTAAGACTCTGTCTCAAAAAAAGCATCATAAGCAAGGCTAAGAACAAGCTCGGCACATGGCTCATGCCTCATGCCTATAATCCCAGCACTTTGGGAGACCAAGGCAGGAGGATCACTTGAGGCCAGGAGTTCAAGGCTACAGTGAGCTACAACAGGCAATAGGATGAGACATTGTATCAAAAAGAAAAAGAAAAGCTAAGAGATAAATGATAAACCAGGGGATATCTGCCACTCATATTCCAAACAAAGGGTTCATATTCCTAAAAGCATCCAGTTAAATAAGAAACAGATCAATAACCTAACAGAAAAAACGGTCAAAGAACACGAAAAGGGAAATTTTCTGAAAGGAAAATAGAAATGGCTCTTAAACATAAGAAAAGGAACTTAACCTCCCACGCTATGACATAGAAATATAAAATATACTGAAATACTACTTTCCACCCATTAGACTATCAAAGAGAAAGAAAGTCTAAAAATATACTCATTGGTAATAGAGTGAGGCATTCCCTTCCCTGGCCCTCTATGAAAACTCCAAGATGGAGTTTGACCCAGACACCCTAGCCATTTATCCTGTACTTTTATTAACATACACCCAAAATGACATATAGTTTATTGGCAGCAGCACCTGTGTATAATAACAAAAGATTGGAAATAACCAAAATGCCCACCAACTGGAGAATGGATAATTAAATTATGCTATAGTCATACAAAAGAATACTAAGCACCCACAAAAAATGAAGAAACTCCTTATTTACTGGCACGGGATGACATCCAAGATATATTCATCAAATGAGTAAAGTCCAGAACAGTTTGTGTAACATTCTGCCTTTTATGTAAAGAAAACAAAGGGCCGGGCACAGTGGCTCACGCCTATAATCCTAGCACTCTGGGAGGCCGAGGAGGGTGGATTGCCTGAGCTCACAGGTTCAAGACCAGCCTGAGCAAGAGCAAGACCCCCTCTCTAAAAATAGCTGGCCGTTGTGGCAGGTGCCTATAGTCCCAGCTACTCGGGAAGCTGAGGCAAGTGAATCGCTTAAGCCCAAGAGTTTGAGG